AGTAAGGCAAAGAACAGTATTTCTAAAACATGTTTAATGAACCCTAAGCTTGCTCAGTTCTGCCAGAAAGGTGTTCCTTGGCCAATAAACTGGGAAAAACTGCTTATTAAATTTCCCTACAATTAAGGGTGCCTGGCTGGCTCAGTTGGTTAAGCCTCTGACTCTTGGTTTTGGCTCAGGTCATGAACTCATGGGTGGTGGGATTGAGCCCCACAATGGGCTCCTCCCTCAGTGGGGAGTCTGCTTAAAAGAATCTCTCTGTCTACCCCTCCCCCTTTCTCTCTCTCTCTCTCTCTCTCAAAATGGATAGATAAATCTCAAAAAAAAAAAAAAACTCCCTATAATAAAATCTTTTTCCATGTGGGAGATTTACAACATATATCAGCATGTTAGAAGTGAGTTAGATAGACAGTTCGGTAGTCATGGCTGGGGTCCCTAACAAGAAAATATGGCGTCAGGACAGCTAAGATAAAACAGCACTGACATCCTGTTTTGCAGCTTAGACAGGAGTGCACTAGCATTCTGCTTTGCAGCCTTTCCAGAAGTGACTTCTGCAAAAGTCCTAAAATAAAACAACTGCAAGGCATTTGTCCCTATCAGGGGCAAAGGGCAATTAAGACATAAGCCCCCAGATGTCAGCCAAAAAGATCATCAGCACGTGGACATGAACCTAACAGGTAGATAACTACCTGGCCAAAGCCCCAACTGGCACAACTCAGCACACCCTAATTGCTAAAGATAGTTCCACAAAAAAGCTCACAAAAAACCCTACACTTAGAAACTCCAGGGGCACTCCTGGCTCCCTCACCCTCCCCAGGGGCTTTATTTTGCCCCTGTTCAATAAACCTTGCTTTGCTGCCTATCACTCTTCATCCAGTCCACCTCTTCATTCTTCAAGGCAGCGTGACCAAGAACCATGGGCAGTAAAAGCAAAGAAATCCTGCAACAAGCATATCAGTGGCCCTAAAAAAAATTCCTTCAGTGAAGATGTTTGCCTAACATTGGATCCTTTCTTCCTCTCTTCTCTCTGCCACAAGTTAGCACTGTGACCTCACTTAAGACTCTGATTTTCTCCAGCCTCAGTGTTCTTCTGTCTCAAATCTAAGAGTTGATGCCAGATGATGTCTGAGGCTCCCACTTCACTTATCATTCTAGATTCTTGATTTCACCTAAGAAAAATTAAGCAACTTCGGCATTCGACATTATTGAATGATTCAAAACACAAGCCAAGTCAATAACAATCTGCAAAAAGGAAGTTTCTAATATTTTTTATGATTGACTAATGTGATATGGAGTGATACTCAACCTAAAACACCAACTGGTTTATTACAAATAGCAAGGAAAGATATTTTAAATTTCTTTCCAAGGCTACTAAGCATAAGTCTCAGAAGACAACAAATAATTACCAAACTGCACAAAAAAGTATTAGTTTAGGTTCTATTTTTTCTGGTTCTAAACAGGAAAAAAATTTAAAGCTACCTTCTTGTAAAATGACTAAGAGTAATATTTTTTAAGTAACTATTCACTGAGCAACTTTGTCATGATTTCCTAGATCGGTCATGCAAAAAAAGAAAATAGGTTATTTCTTCATGGATTCCCTACCCATTTGACTGCCAGAGAGTCCTGCAACAGCCTTGTATTATGAAAGTCCAATGGCCCCAAAGCCTAAGGAAGCAAATGAGGAAAAGAATAGATTTCTGGACAGCTCTATGTTAATTAAGAGATCTCCTGTCATCAGGGGAATTTATAATCTCAATTCAAATCAGGACTAGTTTTAGTATTGAATCTTTTTTTCCTCACAGCAAGCTCCAGAGCATGTTCTGGCCCCACTCTGGAACTCATGCAGTTAAAATCTCTTATTAGGTCCCAGCTAACCTGAAGCTTCCATCTGTAAGAATTATAGCACAACATACCTCTGCGGCAAGGAGCACACTCTTGTTCCCCAGAGAAAAAGAAACTGAAAAGACTAAGTATATGTGGGGTAGGAATGACTGAAATTCCATATGGCCTACCAGAATAGAATACTTTCTCAGAGGGATAATCCTCCCTGATACAACACATCAATAACCAATAACAACAAGCGCAGAATCCAGTTTTTTAAGTGTGGGACAAGTGACCCAATCCAAACCACTCCCTTAAAACAAAATAGGATGGGAAACAACTTTCCTTTTAACAGAATACCAACCAACTTTTAAAATTATAGCTTCTCTTTCAGCTAACACTCTGCCCAAGAAAGTTCTACTGGTTGCAACTCTAAAACCAATCCAAGAATTTTCTCTTCCAGGGCCCCTCACAAGTATATTCAGCCATGAAACCAGGCTTCTTACATGCTGATTACCTCTTGACTTTTATCACACACATTGCTTCCAAGACATCCATGGGCAAAAATAGCCTGGCTTAGTCCTGAAGTGTGACCCAGCATTTCCCAGTCTATCAGCTGATGGTGAACCTTAATAGGAATCTTGTATTTTCATTTGTCAAAGACACAGTTCCCATCAAGAATATTCTGCTATAATTTCATTCATTCACATTTAGACAAACACAACTGAAGAATCAGGGATCATGACATTTTCATACTTCATACCTGCAAGACATTTGGCCTATTCATCGCGTCTTATAAAACAAATGCAACTTCTGGTGAAAGGCTGTGAATGACAAATATGTATCTGAGAGTCTAAGCTCAGTAAATCAGGAAACTAAAATTGACTGTTTTATGTATGTATTTAAAATCTTTCTGGAGCACCTGGGTGGCTCAGTTGGTTAAGCTCCAACTCTTGATTTTAGCTTAGGTAGTGATTTCAGGGTCATGAGATCGAGGCCCACCTGGGGCTCCTCAGTCATAGAGGAGTCAGCTTGAGAGTCTCTCTCTCTCTCTCCCAATGCCCCTCCCCTCATGCTCTCTCACCCTCTCTCAAATAAATAAATAAATAAATAAATCTTTAAAAATACATAACAAAAAATAACCTCTGATTTAAAAATCTTGAAAAAGTTTCAAGAGATCCTCTCCTTCAGAGACTCAACCATTCTGTGGAGGTTCTTCTGGAATCCTTTCTCTTCTATGGCAATAAGAGTGCCCCCTCCACCCTGTGCAGATTTCCAAATCACCAGAGAAACTACCAGGTAGAAAGCCAGTCCAAATATCCTCCAAGCCTAAAAGAGGTCGTCGCTTAATGAGGGAGATACAAGAGAGAAGAGGACACTGGTAGAGGAATTTGTTGTAAAATAGTTGCATTACAGGGTCAGGAAAAGCTGTCAGTAAAGATATGTGTGATTGGGATATCCCCAAAATAGCTTATGAAATCTAGATACTCAGCTGACCTTGAGGCAGACCTTGTGGGGATCTTGGAAGGGACAGTGGTTAGGGAGACTTGAAAGAAACTAGATCTAATGGAAAAGCCAGGATTAACTCCTACCTGGGGAAATACAGGTCTGTATCTTACCCAAGAACACCAAAACTAGATGGGCTTCATTTCCTGATGGTCTTCAGTGTTACTGAAACTGCAGTCATGGGCTGCATCATCATACAAGCCAATTCATTTCAATTTTTCAACCATCACAGACTACCCCCTCAATCCTGACAGCTTGTACATGCAAAGCCTTGACAGAAAAGAGTTTCAGAGGAGAAGAAGGATGAAATCAAGTAAATCTACCACCTTCATAGGCAAAGAACAATCCCTCATTATCCAGAAAGACATTTGAAATGAGAAAAGCTGAAAGAATCTTAAAAAATAAATGATGTGGACTTTTCTGTTGGGCAGTTTAAATTGAGAGGATCTAGATCAGGCCTTTATCAGCTCAAGGCTGGACATGTAGGCCAACTGGTTTGGTAATCTGAATTAGTGTTCACTTGGAAGGATCTGACTGGATAATTCATGCACTGGTGTTAGTAACTCATAACAACTTAAAGACCTTTCCCTGCTAAGAATATATTCATTTCAACCCAGATTTAACAGTGAAGAATATCAAGGACTAAGGAAATCTAGACAGTGAACTAAGCATTACTTCCAACCAGTTGTACACATTTGGGAAATCACAGAATATCTTTGGACCTCAGTTCCCTATCCATAAGGTGGTGGTGTTAGAGTAAATGGAATCTAAATTCCCACCCAGCTAAAATAGGTTTTGTGTCTGATTCTCCGCAATAAGCATTAACATTGGGTATTGGAGACAGATGAGTAAGGGCCTTCCAATCCCAGCAAGTGTAAGGCTAAGAATACATGCCTAATGGGATGACCCAGGCTTCAGGGGCAGGAGATGATTAGATTTGAACTCAAACTTCACCTTGATGACAGATCAGTAGTGAATTTACTGACAAAGGCCAGGCAATAGAATTCTCCAAAGGGGAAAAAATCTGTAAGAGACAGTAATTAGAGTTCAAGGCTCAGCTAAGCCATTCACTAACAGCATGGTGTGGACATACCATTGAACCATTCTGAGCCTCAGTCTCCTCAATGGATGTACTACCATCTGCCCTACCTACAGACAGCAGAAAGTCTTTGTATCAATATAAGAAAATAAACACATACACTCAGTAGATTGTAAATCAGCCACAGCTCAGAGCTTCCATGTGAAGAAGCATTTAGGATTTAGAAGGTCTTCCTATGAAAGAATAGAACAAAAACAAAAGCAAACACAAAAGCTAGAAAAACATATTTTTAAAGATTTTTTTTTTTGTTTATTCATGAGAGACACACAGAGAGAGAGGCAGAGACACAGAGGGAGAAGCAGGCTCTATGTACGGAGCCCAATGTGAAACTCAATCCTGGGACTCCAGGATCACACCCTGAGCAAAAGGCAGATGCTCAATCGCTGAGCCATCGCTAGAAAAACATTTTTGAGAAAGCAGCTTCCTACTTGCCCAATCCTAAAATATAGACACTAAAATATCAATCTATGACACTTCTCTAGGCTCTCCAAGCACATAGAGCAGATTTTCAATGGAAATGTCTGCATAAAAAAGAAAAAAAAGACAGCTAAACCTGAGTCTTTGTCAAACTTACCCAAAGCCCCAGGGGATGTAAGACATTCACTTTAGCCAGAGAATCACAGAATCTTTCCTTAACACCAGGAGACCAGGCACAGGCTGAAGAGTTAAGCAAACTGCAAAGCTCGACAGAGAGAGTAATCCAATGTGCCTGAATAATCATGAAAAAAAGAGGTACAGAAGCTGGCGGTAGGAGGAAATAAAAGATATTTGACAACAGCCAAGATTGCCTGAGGAGTACTGATTGGGTTGAACAAGTAGGAAAAAAAAAAATTGTTCTTACTTGAATGGCCAGTTGGCCAGGAAGAAAAATATTAGACACCAAAGATAACTTGACCCAGGGACAAACACAAGTACGCAATAGCGTAATATAGTAGGACTGGAGAACACAAGTACGCAATAGCGTAATATAGTAGGACTGGAGAAAGAGCTATTCACCCCTAAATGAGGGATGAAGAGAAACTAATGGCTTTTTAAAAAATTATACCTAACCAAGATCATTTGTTTGGATCAACTCTCCATGAATTCACAGAAGAGTATAAGGAGAAAATCCAGAGACTGTTGGGCAATAATTCAATTTTAAACATGACAATAATGTAAGTGCATCTGAATAACCCCACTAGCAAGAGGAAACAAGTGGGGAACCAGGGTTAGATCAAGACTTGAAAGACAGGGGAAGCCTAGGTGGCTCAGCAGTTTAGCACCTACCTTTGGCCCAGGGCGTGATCCTGGAGTCCCGAGATCGAGTCCCACATCGGGCTTCCTGCAGGGAGCCTGCTTCTCCCTCTGTCTGTGTGTGTCTCTGCCTCTCTCTGTGTCTCTCATAAATAAATAAATAAAATCTTAAAAAAAAAAAAAAAAAAGACTGAAAAGATGGGTGTTCCAATCACTCTGTGAAACAACAGTTGAAGAAAATTGAGGTCAGGGAACCTCACAAGAGAGAAGCTTGAGAGACAGCAAGGCAGAGAACCAAAAAGTAAATCAGATCAGATGCTATAGTTGACAGAAAGACTGAAGGAGAAATTTGAGAGAAAGAGAGAGAGAAGAGTGCATGAAAGTATAAGTGGTAGAAAATCCTGAGTCGTGAGGCCTACAGATAAGTGGGTATGGGATCAACCCTGAAAGATGCTGAACCCGGGAGGATGAGTACAGAGAAAGGCCCCAGATTCTACCAAAGTGGAGTCTTTGAGAGCAATGGTAACAAATATGAGCCTGTGAGGCAGAGACAGAGATACTCAAGGCCCAAACTGAGTCCAGGACTGAGGGGAAGCTCTTGCTAATTTGCTCCCAATGCAAAGGCCATGGAAGTAAATGTTTAATGCAAAGTGGAAATGACCATACCCATGTCCAGAACCCTGCTGTTATAAAGAATACCAAAATGTGAAAGCAAAGCTGCCTCACAGGGAATCCCTGAGGCTTCTTGTTCTGCTTACTCACTCTTGCTTCGATAGATAAATGCTCTGGTGCCTCTCTCCTCATGTTAGCTTGCTGGCTCTCCGGCTCACAATAGCTGGGGGGTCTGATGTTCCTCTCAAGGCAACTGATTTGTACCTAGCTTTGGAGTGTTTATGAGTGGTCACAAAATAAAACTAACTGGTACTCTTGTGCCCAGCTCAAACCTTGCTTGACAATTCTCTCTTAAGTCCCCATTACCTACGCAAAAGCGGCTCTACTTGATTAATCAAGTTGAAAATCCAGCTCCAGGAATCTCAGTAGCTTGTGTTCCAGGGTGAAATCTAGTTCTAGCTGGAAAACTTTGGCCAAGAGAGTTCAAGTTCAGATCCTTCTCTTTGACAGATGGCTGTAACTAAATCTAACCAAGAAATGGTAGTGTTAATTCATATGATATAAGGAAAACTAAAAGGTAATCTCGTTCATGCTCTTGCAGTGAAACACCTGGTAAATATTAGGTTTTCAGTAAGCATGTGGTGAATGTTGAATATTCAAAAATGGGCTCCCATCACATTATATGATTAACATTTATATTCACTAGTGATAATAATTATTTGCCTTTTCTTTTTGTCAGAGTGGCAAGAGAGTTTGGGGTTTACAGTTCAACGAAGAACCAGAAAATAAGGCTTTTAGCAAAATTTGCTTCAAGAGTTCAACAGGTTGAAAGAACAAGTTGTTATAATAGACCTGTAATTTAAGTGAATTAATAAAATGTTCTTGTTGCAATCGTTAATTTGCTTAAAAAGCAGAATCTGCAAACACGTTCAAGAAATTAATGAGACTATATATGGTCATGAGACTATAAAAACTATTGCAAACTTCCCTAATGCTATGCTATGCTCTGAGGTATCCAAACAGAATAATCATAAATAAATAGTCTAAATTTAATAAATTATGTATTTAATAACTTAATAATTAATCATTTATTTAATAATTTGTTTATTTATTTATTTAATAAAATAAAATGAGACTTACTATAAGTTCAGCCAAGTGAGTTGTGACATGTGGTACTGAATTACATTCTATAGAAGTGAACAATGTCAAACTGAAGTTCCTGGGAAATATTTTGAGACAGCTTCATTTCTCTCTTTTCTGAGAGGTCTGTATTTTCCTATTTTAAACCAAGGTCTAATATCAATATAATATTTACCCATGAATGGTTAAATGTTCTATTTCTCTCTGACATTAGAGATCAGTACACAAGACTTAAAGCATTTTTCTTCACAATAGGGAAAAAAAAGAACTACCTTATTCAAATCTGAAATAGAATTTCACAAATTTCTGTTGAGCATTTTTTTTTAAAGATTTTATTTATTTATTCATAAGAGGCACAGAGAGAGAGAGAGGCAGAGACATAGGCAGAGGGAGAAGCGGGTTCCATGCAGGGAGCCCGATGTGGGACTTGATCTCGGGTATCCAGGATCAGGCCCTGGGCCAAAGGCAGCACTAAACTGCTGAGCCACCCGGGCTGCCCTCTGTTGAGCATTTTGAAACAGATTATATAAAATGAATAACAAGTCCAAAGAAAATTGAATATGGATCAATTAAAAGAGGAAGGAAAAAAAACAGGCCATCTGGGTGCACAGTCGGTCGAGCTTCCAACTCTTGGTTTCAGCTCAGGTCATGATCTCAGGGTCATGAGATCAAGCCCCCCATTGGGCTCTATGCTCAGCACAGAGTCTGGTAGAGATTCTCTCTCCCTCTGCCCCTCCCCTGCCTCTCTCTCTCTCTCTCTCAAATAAATAAATAAAATCTTTTTACAAATAAAAGGGGAATCAAAAATTTATTTTTAGTTTTGGGCAGATTAAATGACTCACCTCACACAATGATGTTTTCCTGCTAAAAGAATGTTGTTCTGCTAGAGGCGATTATGGTAATAAGAATTAGGGTAATTTAAACTCCATTGAAAAGGGGATTTTAAGAGATTCTTATGTTGCAGAGAAACCCAAGAATAAGCTTGAAATCCTGGCTATTTATGCTGTCATTAAAATAGCTTGGTGGGTACCAAATTAATTTTATGTGTCTGAGGACTGATTAAGCCACTATAATGACCTGATGGCTCATTGATTAGGGAGTTTCCATTTGCTATCTACTTAAGGTTTTAGATTTTATATTTGGACCAAAGCATCATCACATTGCATTATTTTCCATGTCAGAATATTTAACCTTCTCTTCCAACATACAACTTGAGGAAGTAAATATCCTCCCAAGTAGACACAAATGTTCCATATCCAACAAATGACCACATTGGTACAATAATCTGGAATCCCTGGCTAGATGCAATTTATAAAAAGATGCCCTTTTAGAGATTTCACAATAGCCTGATTTTCATTTTGTAAATGTGTTTCATTGTTTAGTGTCTTTATTCATTCCCATTCAATGATGAAGTGACTCTACTGTTTAAGGCCCAATGCCACAGGTTAAAGTCAGAGAAATGAGTCATGCTGGATTTGGTCCCTAGAAATGTTTGCCAGCAATACAGATGAGCTTATCACTAGCACTTAAAGTGACTTTTATTCTTTCCTCTTGTATGGTTTCTAGGGCTGTAGTAGCAAAATACTATAAACTGAGTGGCTCAAAACAACAGGAATTTATGCTCTCATAGTTCTGGAGATCAGAAGTCAGAAATCAAAATGTCTGCAGGGCCATGCTCCCTCTGAAACCATAGGGGAGAATCTTTCCCTGCCTTTCCCTAGATTTCTGGTGCTGGGTGGCAGTTCCTTGGCATTCTTTGACTTACAGCTATATAATTCCAATCTCTGTCTTTATCATAACATGGTGTCTATGTGTCTGTCTTTACAGGGCTACCTTCTAATAAGGACACCAGACATATTGGATTAAGGGTCCAATCCATCATGACCTCGCCTTAATTCAACTAATGACATCCACAACTACTTTATTTTCAAATAAGGTCACATTCTGAAGTACTGAGTGTTGGGACTTCCACATATGTTTATTGGGGAGGGATGCACAATTCAGCCCATGATACTTTTAATCCTTTTCTGCCAGTAATGCTCTTGTATGCCAAAGGAGTCTCTGCATAGTAAGAAACTGGAAAAGGAGCAAAGATAGAAAGCCCCATTGGTTTACAGCACTTTTACTTTCTTCCACAGCAGAAAACATACTGCTTAGGAATTTTTATCTCTGCTTTTATCGATGAGAAGACTTATGTGTAGAGAAGTGAAATGCCTTGCTTGGTAGCACTCAATTGTCATATGTCACGGGCAACCCAGATCTCCTAAGCCCTTGTCCTATACTGCTCCTGGTAATACATAAAGCCTAATCAAAAGCCCCATCAATATGTTGTCCATAGACATTCAAAATGCAAATTGGATATTTTCAGATGGGTAAGTTATCATTATAAAAGAGCCACAAGGAAGATGCTTCGGTGCTGAAATTGTTGTGTGCCTTGACGAGGGTTGCAGACTACCCAAGGATGGTCCTGAGAGCCATGAATGCTACCAGCCACCAGGTCCCTTTCTTCCTCTCTGGTTGAGTGGCAGTCCCAATATAACCCCACCAGACCACCTAAAATGTAGGCTACAGTGACAACCATATGTGCTATTTTATAGGGCATGGGCAGTTCCCTGAAGAAAAAAGAAAAAGTCCTTTTCACTCCCCCTCAGTCGGGAAATGGAGAGGAATTTCACTTAAGGAG